ATGGTGAAACCCCATCTTTACTAAAAATACAAAAATTAGCTGGTGTCATGGCATGTGCCTATAGTCCCAGCTACCCAGTAGGCTGAGGCAGGAGAATTGCTTGAATCCGGGAGGTGGAGGTTGCAGTGAGCCGAGATCGTGCCACTGCACTCCAGCCTGGCACCTGGTAACAGAGTGAAACTGTCTAAAAAAAAAAAAGTAGTCTATAATATGATTCAAATTTTAGTTTTATTTTCCAGTATTAAATTCACATAGGCCTATCATGTCTCAAAATATTGACAACGGTTTCTCTGAAATAGAATCACAGAAAGTTTCTTTTGCTTCATGATTTTTCTGAATATCTTCAAATTTTACTTTACTTTGTAATAAAAAATCTATGAGAAATTTTCTGAGATTAGTAAACAAACCCTTCACATTAAGATGAAGTAGCTATCTACAGAGCAAGTCTCTGAATAATGGCCATCACATTTTCTATGAACTGATTATATTAGAAAATATAACCCTCCCACAGGATGACAAAAGCGCAAGTTTGTCTTTGTGCCCTCGTACTAAAAACTCGTGTGGTACGGTTCAGCAACACCAGCATGTGTGTGCAGATTCTTCTCCAGGAGGGCGTTAGAAGCCTTGGCCACTCATGGTTGCAGTGTAACTATGCAGGGGCTCTTCTCCATGCCTTTCCAGGTCTGCACAGGCCTAAAATGATAGCCTCAAGGGTGTCCCAGTCTGCTGACTTCTCTTTGGCTTTGGCCAATGAGAATGACAATGGTGGGGGCCAGAGAGTGGGACAAGCAGAGATCAGGCTGCCTGCCCTCAGCTCCCAGCCTATCATGTCTCTGTGGACCATGCACTTCCCTGCTTAGGGCTGTGAGTCCTATCCAGCAGTGTCTCCACACCACTCAGCCTCCCTCTTAAGTTCTAGTTTCCGATAGCACTCCTACCCTTGCCCCTTCAGGCCTAGGCATGGTAAAAGCTTCTCCTGGGTACTAGCCCCAGAGTAGCGCTCTCTTATTGCTTTTCCTAAGCCCCGTCTGTACCTTTGTGAAAGGTCTCTAATAAACTCTCCTCAGATCACTCCATTTGAGTGCCACCTGATTCCTGATTAGTAGGAACCTCATTGATATGATAATATATGTAATTACCCTAGAGAAAATAAAGCAAAGTGCATTTGGACTAAACAAAGCAAAAGGAAAAACGTAATCTAATGTGTTTAAACAGAAGTTTAGCCCTATGCTACTTCTATGCTTCCATTACCTAGAACATCCTAATGCTTTCCTTTTTTAAAAAAAAAAAAATTTGAGCAAGTTACTAACTTATACAATCTCAGCACATAGTCCAGGAGAGTGTCCTTAGACATGGAGTAGAAGAGAACAGTGGTTATCTCAAGAGACAAATTGTTTTTGCCACATCAAATTGAAAGATAGATATGCTCCTCTTAGGTTCACCTTGTACTGTATCACAAAATACCTTCTCACTTTGTTCATGATTGGGTTTGATGTTAGCCCCAAGCTTCACTTGCCATTTCAGTTTATGGGATCCAGAGTGTGTGTGGTATACAGCAAAGAAAACGTGGCAGGAACTCACTGTGAGTTTACTAACCATTTAAGGATCTGAGAAGCCCAGTTTAAGGAAAAAAAAAAAAAAAAAAAGAGCGAGAGAGAGAGAGTCCCCACCCAAAAAATCAAGACAACTCCACAACATTGTTTCAATAACAAAGTCCTATTTTCAGAAAACTGGAAAGACAAATCTGAGAACTATATGGCATTTGTCACTCAGATTATCCCAGCCCCATTACAAAGAAAAGGGAACAAAATACTTTTTACTAAAAATTGCTGTGAGGCATTCCAAACACAAGGGAGAATGACACTGATGATAATGTAAGCACGAACAGCACAAGGGATGGAAAATGATTGTTTCATCTTAGAAGAGCAATTCAGACACAGCAGTAAATTATCACCGTGAGTCCCCCCTCCTCCTACCCCCCCACTGACCCACCTAGAAATTGGCTCTAGCACTTATAGCAGTCACTTGAGGGTGCCAGGGCTTTGCTTCTCCCAAATGACACATCACCAAGGCTCCAAGACCTCACAGAGAGGCCCTTAACAATGGGCACAGTATCACTGGAATGGCACTGGAGGCTCTAACAGTAGCCAAAGGCTTTAGCTGCCCAGGGAGGGAGTCACAGCGTCTTCACCTGCAAGCTTCAGGTGAAGCTGATGGCTTTGCTTTTAGAGTAGCAGGAATGAGCAGCCTTGCCAGTGGGCACCAGCAATGGGGTGAGCTACCCTCCAATGGCTAAGAGGACTTCAGAAACCACTGTTTAAAGGTGCAGCCTCTCTAATATTGACTCTATTCCTTTTTATCCTGAACAAAAATGAACGTACAGTATTAGGTGATCTCTTGAGCTCTCAGAAAAAAAAGAGTATTAAATAAGTTCTTAGTAGAGGGAGATCAAAACAGTGGCAAGTCCTAAGAGTCTGGGGACAGAACAGGAACAGTGGGGGCTCAGGATGAAAACATGCCATCTTTTCCTGGCTCCACCAAGGACCAGCTTGGATGTCAGCAGGGCACATGAAACATAAATACTAGACTCTTAACGTCCCATTCCACTAACTTAAAAAAGAACACTGAAGATGTAAAAGCACAGGACTTCAAATACCTTATCTTGGATCTAATTTCTGTCTCTGAACCCCCTTACAGTATGGCAAATTTTGTATGTTTTCCTAAGGGCAGAAAAACTAATAGACATACCTACAAAATGTTTGCTTATAAACCAAATGCTTATAGAAATCCAGTTTCTAAATTATAGAAGAAAACCACAGGGAAAATACTACTTCCTCACAATTAGTAATATATGATGAAATGACCATATGCCAGTATCCACTAATAAGGTAAAATTTAAGTTTCTTGCAGCCATGGGGTATCTTATTCTTCTTTGGAACTCTTTCCCCACCCCTGCTACCTGGAAGAGTATATCAGCTGATTAATTTAGAAGACTCAAGGAACTGGACACTACCCCCTGGAACATAGCAGTCTACTCTCTACCACAGGAATGCCAACCAAGAAAACTGGCCGGGGAGCCAGATGCCTTCTCCACATGTGGCTTCCACTCAGTCTCAGTGTGTAAGGGAGCTGGCAGAGCCCACCCAACAGAACTAGTATTAGCGCCTTCCTTCCTCCCATTTTCCCTCATCACATCTAAGACTTTAGGTAGCTCTGAGAACACATTTCATTATCTTTAAAAAGATTAGGAAAGCCTTGCCAAGGCAAACTATGATGCCCCCTTGAGCCACTAAAAATGCAAGAGGACAGAAAGCAAAGACTAAGGAGTATCAGTAGAGGAAAAAAAAATCCCGAAATACTACTTGAGGTGGATTCCAAAATCATTTATGACATTTATGTCCTTCTTTCCTCAGCAGATGCCCATTACTACAAAGAAGACTGCCATGACACACTAGTCAAAATCACCAATATCAACTAAAAAGAAAAACTCACAGGCCCAGGCATGGTGGCTCACATCTGATCCTAGCACTTTCAGAGACGGAGGTGGGCGAATCAGTTGAAGCCAGGAGTTTGGGACCAGCCTGGCCAACACAGTGAAACGCTGTATCTACTAAAAATAGAAAAAATTAGTTGGGCATGGTGGCACACACCTGTAATCCCAGCCACTCCAGAGACTGAGGCATGAGAATTGCTTGAAGCCAGGAGATGGAGGCTGCAGTGAACTGAAATTGCACACTGCACTTCAGCCTGGGGAACACAGTGAGACTCATCTCAAAAAAACAAACAAACAAAACAAACTCACAGGATTCTGGTTTTCTATTAAAGCAAACTTAAGTACTTTTAATCATTCACACTATCCTAAGTCATGAGAAAAATAACTCAGTATGTGCTTCGATATTGCAATTACAAGCATACCAATTTTGGAAAATCAAATGTAGGCGAGAAGACTTAAATCACTATAAATTTTCATTAAGCATATGAGTTTTCAACCTATAAGTCAAACACTACAGAAAGAAAATGTTATCAAGTAACCAATGCCCTGCAAAGTCATAAGCAGCAACTCTGTAAATGAAAGCTAGAAATGATCTCGAGATTCAAGTGCCAATGTGCTATCAATCACTGGAATAATTTGATATTATGGAAAAACCTACTGAACGACCCAAATTTTGATCCATTCATGTTTATCAATGAACAGGAATGGAAAAAAGTATTTTTCTATAACCAGATAGACAGACCTTAATACATACACATACCTAAGAAAACAAATATAAGCCATGTATAGGTAATCTCCAAATATCAGGAAGAAGGCAAAGAGATTTCAGGGATATATATACACACACATGCAATTGTTAATATATACCCATGTTTTAATGCTTCGGTGTCATTTAAAATTTCATGGGAAACTTTCACTTAAACAGTAACCATATCCAGATTCTCATTTCATTTAAATAAATTAAGTAAAGTTCCTGGGCAAGTTTCCAGAGAGTTAGGTTGCTTTAAAGTTGGCCATGCATTAAATAAAGCTTTGTCTCACAAAAGTGAACGAGTAACTGATATGGTATCTGTACATTCACTCTGCACAAGGTTCCTTTATCTCAAAAGCATTATTCAAACGCAAACAACAAATCAGATTACAGCTCTGGAGAACCATACTCTGCCTCTTCCAGCAACACTGCCAGCTCACAAAATTATATGAAGATCAACCACTGGCCTCCTGAGGGATCGGTTATCTACCTTCCCCATCAGGTCCCCCAAGGTTCTCCTACCTCACACACATGTCCCCTTTCATTCACTCCACTGCATACATCTTTCATCTTTCAGAGGCTCGTTAAGAATAAGTGTGCAAAGGTTCACTTTAACAGCAAAACCAAAAAGAGAGCCTTCAGCATTAGAGTTTATAATGAAACAAAATCCTGAATTCTGAGAGTCAACTAAGCTAGAACTAAAAGCCATTGCAGGAAGAGATTCATTTCTGGGTCCCTAGCTTCTTTTCACATTACCTGCTTCAGTGTACCTCAGTCCCACTTTTTCTTCAGTGTCTTTTGTCTTTGGGGGTGGCCAGACGGCTTGAAGTCGGCCAGGAGTCCTGTCGTCCTGCTCAGTTGGGCTGTGGTCAGGCTGTTGAAAGAGCAAGCAAATAGTAAGTGAAATGTGGTCAGAGTCAATTAATTCCTGAAAAATGACATGCTAACCCTAATTATGAAGTTAATTTTAATGGCTAGTGCACATTGCTCTCATTCACTATAATTTCAGATATCTTACTATAGTGTAATCCTTTTCCAGAAGTGTAACATGATCAGTTGAGGTAAAAATTTAAAAAACAACAACAAAATCTTGAGGATAAGTATGTATTACACAACCCTTAAAAGATTATTTTTATTATATAATTGTTTGAAAAAGCACAAATATACTTTGGCCTAAAGAAACAGACACAAATGTACTACACTGAAGTACATTTCCAGGAATGTTTACGCATGTATCCCAAACTCTGGGATTATTTAATATAAAGACTAATTTCAGGAACATCAGCAAGAGACCAAGACACATTTCTTCAAACATTCCACACTGCTAATTTCTCCTTTTCCTATACACAGACGAATGAGATTACCTTAATATTCAAGTTATTTTTATATGGGTTGATTTTTACAATTAGGACAATGCTGCATTGTGTTTACTTTTTAATTGCAATCTGAGAAAATTTTGCCAAAGACTTTCACTTTTAACATTTTAACTGAGCATTTTAAACATATAGGAGGGGATGATAATCATACACTGAATTGATATCAAGCAAGAAATTCTATTTATTGTTCTTATAATCATTTAAGATCTACTGGACAGGTACTTACTCATCTTTATAAATTACCTGAGTTAGTTTTGTGTAATAACAGCTTCCATTAATTAGACGCTTCTCATGCACTGCCTTCATCTAATTCTTTTAACAACCATATAACTATTTTATTTTCCTAATTTTGCACATGAGGAGATTGAGGCTTGGAGATTATCAAGATTAACCAGCCAGTAAATGGCAGAATTAGAATTAAAACTCAGGTCTCATTCTAAATCTAGTGCTCAATCCGGAAGCGTTCCAACCAATGTGGAATACTCTAATCACATCACAAACACTTTTTGCCAAATGGCAGACTTTCAAAGGAATAATATAGTTTCCGTAGAGGTATAATTAAGTGGTGAGGAAACCCTGTAAACCTGGGCTATACTTCCATATTGCATCACTTCCTCATGCTACTTGGTTTTATTTACCATCAACATTTAAACTCCCAGTGACAGTTACCCTTTCCTACCTGCACAGCTTTGTGTACATCCCTCTTGTAATATTCCAGATAAAAATCAGGATGCATGAAAGCACCTCTGTCTAACTCTGTACTCCTTACAGGACAATATAATTTGACTATAATCCTTTTTCACCTAAAAGAATCACCAACAGGCAACTAGGATTCACTTTGGGAGGAAACCTGGAAAGAAATACAGTAGCACCGTATTATATAATAAAATGCAAACCTCAATTCTACATACATTTTTGGAATCAGAGGGGCCATCCGCTGGCTTAGACTTGGACCGTTCAAACACAGCTCTTAGCGACTCCTTCTCATGTCTCATCTTGCGCTTGAGAGCTTCCAGCTCAGAGGTGTCAGCTGTGGTCCCCTTTCTGGGGGGCCGGATGAATAAGGCTTTAAAAGCCTCCAGGGCTGTCTCTGGTGGCTTTGGCTTGACTTCACCACCCTGGGTTTGGGCTTCTCCAGGGCTGCTCTGGCTCTCTTGGTCAGAACTGCCGCCCATCTCTTCTTTCCTGGGCGACTCAGGGTCTGCTCCCTTCAGTTCAGTTTTGGGCATGTCAACGTTGAGCAGCAGAGAGAGCTGCTCCAGGAGAGTGGGAGTGGCCTTTGGATCAGTTGCTTTATCCTCACTCTTCACTGTCTGCGGCCCTGCCTGCACTAAGGACTTCTGCACAGGCTGGGTCAATTTGAGCAAAGCCAAGTCCCCATCCTTTGGTTTAATTTCAGTGATGGTCTCTCCTCTCTCAGCATTAGCCCCCTTCTTCAGCACACGAAGCCCACTGAAAAAAGCTGGAAGCTGGAATGACTTCTCTCCAGAGACTTCTTTTTTAGAAGAGGCACTCTCAGTAACACCAACACTCAAATTCTGGTTTGTTACTGCAGGTAGGACTTGGGATCCTTCTTCTCCTTCCTGGCCCTGGCTGGGGTGATGCTCTGTTGGAAGACCAACATTGCCAGGTTCTAGTCTGCTGCTTGTCTCAAATGGAATCCTTTGAGGATCTTCTGCACAGAGCTCTGCACCATTCATTTCCCCAGTGACAGTATTTTCCCTGAAATCTCCTGGGGTTTCTTTAGACTCCTGAGATGGCTCAGATAAAACAACACTAGGGGACTTGGAGCCATTGGTGTTGCTTCCCTCCTCTGGCTCCTGGCCACCATCATCAGAGTCGGAATCACTGGTAGTGTGCACAAGGGTCCCACGAACACAAATGACATCATCTTTTGTCTCTTCCAAAGTAGAGAGTGGAAGCAGCTCTTGAGCAAGGAGAGATGTCCCTGCTTCTCCTTTTCTCTGACTTCCCTCTGATTCTGTCTCTACCCTTGCAATATTCTCACCATTTCTGAGGTCTGGTGAAATCGGAGACTCTGCTTCCTGTGGATCCAAGCCATTGCTGGGATCATCCCGCTGGGATGTGGGCTCCGTGTCTAAACTGTGGAATGCTTTCAGTACAGCATCTTCCTCTTCTGGACTCACAGATTCCAGTTTACTTGTAAATCCAAACAGGGATTTCATAGAGAACTTACTCAGGATCGACTGAGCCATTTCAAGTCCAGCTTCTGGTTTTGCTGGTTCCGAGACATCACTGCCATCCAGAGAATTATCAACGTTCTCCATGTCTCAGTAATGCCCTTGATGGAAGTCTGACTTGTGCTACCTTCTCCTGCTCTCTCAGTTTATCCACTCCATCTGCTCTTAATTTGCAGGACCGAGAGCAACAGGACCTGGGAGTCGGGCAGTCAGCCGAACAGCAAACAGACTTGGTGTCTTTCAGGTCACTGGGCAGTCCTGGTTTGTGCAATGATGGTGCGCCCAGGCAACTGTGAAAAGTGCGTGGAGTCTGTGCCCAGAAGCAGCCAAGGCCGCGCACCTTACTACACCAGGGAGGCTGCTCTTCTGAAACTTCCGTATTTATTCCCGAGGACAAAAGCCTTTTTGTCATAGGGAAAGTCAGCCTGCCCTGTAATCCCAGCCCAGGACTTCACGAGGAGCTCCGCCCCAGTCCGGCGGTTCTCCTGGTGGCATTCAACTTCCTCATTGGTGAGCAAGTGAAGGCTTCTGAAAGTGCTGAGCCGGCAAGCTGATCCTGACGGCACTTAGCCACTGCCCTGAGCAGCCTAAGGGAATCAGAAGTGAATCAGCAGAAAATGACTGAAATACTTCTGACACAGGCCTTCTTCTTCATCGGGATTATGATCAGAGAGTCCTGTGCTGCCCAGGCCAAAAAACTAGCAGTACACCCAGATCGGCAGCCACTTAGAATGCCACAATCAAGGAAACGAACTAGAGAAACCAATGGATCATCTTGAAAGTACCCAGAATTCTCAAAGCAGTTCATTTACAGCCCTTGAAGTTTTTTTTTTTTAAGTGCTTTCTTCCGCTTCCCTGCAGTTTTCATCTGGAATGCAGATTTTCACAGCTAAAGCCAGAGAGGGAAAACCTACAGGACTGGTTTCAGGTGACTGCTGTTTTAGCTCTGCCCTGGATGTCTCAGTGCTCTACAAACAGGTACTAAGCAAGCACGCCCACCACGCCCAGTGTCCACCAGCAACAGGGTGGCAGAGTAAACAGCCCAGGCTCGGCAGGAATGATTACCCTCTATACTCCCTGTGCCAACCACAGGCTTCTTTCTGCTCAGCAGCTGTGACTTCCTGGCTTCCTTAGAATCCTGGCATTAGCAGGACACCCCTCTCCCCTTTAGTGCCCCAGCCAATTAAATGAAACCTGGCTTGGGACAGTGTAACACACAACCTGCCCTGTTAGACAAAACAAATCAAAGATCCCCAAGGATCCACATTCCCCTAAAGGGAAAAATATTTGAAAAGTCTCTATCAGTCAGATCTCTATCACAGACCCAATTTGCCTAAACAAAAACAGGACAGACAAAACAACCTTCAAGTACCAGCCCAGTGTAGTTTCTACCACTTTGTTTACATGCTGGGAAGCTGGCAACAAGGACAGGGGTGAAAATTGCAGCCCTGTTTCCTAGCTGCATAGCTGCCTCTTGGGACAGCTGCCCATCTACCTGAAGGTCTCGTGTTTTTCAAATCCAGTCCCATTCAGTAGGCATGCAGTGAGTGCCTGGCAGGGCACTCTTCTGTATGAAGAGGTGAGTCAAACTGGCTTAACAGTAATTGCCAGCTCTCTTTGACAAAAGCTTCAAGAAGACTGTGGTCAAGTGTTAAACATAAACAGCAATTTCTTCTGCGAAACGGAAATGGTAACCCTAAGGATAATGCAAGAGGGGGTGGCTGCGTGTCACACATTGATAACTTGAGCCATGTTCCTCAGTACTAAAAACAGTGTTTGTAAGTATTAATATTGAGACATTCTGATTGCAAAAATGCATTTCTAGCAATGTATTCAAAAGGAACCCTCACACAAATAAAAAAGGTACCTATCATTACATCCCACCAACCACTAAGGGAAAGTTAAATACTTTCTAAACCCTGATTTGATCTAGTGTTTTAAACAGGTACTTCTCTGTTTGCTCCTGATCACAGTATTTTGGGGGATTATTAACCGATGCACACTTAATCAAAAAGCCATCAGAACACTGAAGAAAAATTCAATGGTGTCTATTAAGTCTCTGAACAAGCTTCCTGTCAAGAGGAAATGCCCACTGATTAAAATCAGACATCTGTTTCTTCAAGACTGTAGAAAGAAGAAATCATCACCGAAGATCATAAGATCAGTCTTCTTATGAGCAATGCAGATCATCCAATTCTAGCATGGCAGGGGACAGTAGGAGATGGCAGATCTTTGGTATTTTTCTGTTTTTTTTCAACTGAAAAGACTCCATTTTCTCTGACATAACTAATATGGATTTCTGGAATAAGCTTCCAGGCCCCTTTATAGATTTGGGCAAAATGAAACAGAAACTGGAAGTGGCTATTGGCTTCTACATCATGGCATGGAGCAGAATTATACAGTTTCAGTATCCCCTCAGTACTCATAGGTGCCAACACAATTTCATGGAAAATGGATCAAGTCTTTGGTCCCAGGAGATTATTTTATTTCATCCCCTTGGCTCTAGGTAAGTAAGGTATTATTAGGCTCATTTTAAAAGGTAAGCAACCATTGCTGAGAGAAGGTAACTTGCCAAACTTACACAGCCAGTAAGTGGGGAATAACATCATCTAATATTCAAGTGTTGACTACATGCCAAGCACAGTTTTAGGTGCTCCACATATATTAACTCATTTAATACAGATAACAATTGTATTATGAGTTGTTATTATTCTCTTTTTCCTGCTAGAAAACTGAGGCACAGAAAGATTAAATGGCTTGCCAGTCCACAGAAACAGTGAATGGTGGAACTGTAATTGGAATCCATGCAGTTGGGCTCCAGCATCCACACTCTCAACCACTCTTCTAAAGCCCAGAGCTCCACTTCCTTCCCTAATAGAAGACCACGCACAGCTGAGTCTTGATGTGCAAAGGTTTTAGCCCAGTTCACTGGTAGTCTTTAACTGGGATGTGAAATATACTGTATCCTCTTAAATGATACAGAAGACAAACTTCATACACACACAGACACACACACACACACACACACACACACCACCAAACTCATACTGAGGATGACTATTCTTTTCTCCTTTGTAACTTGGGGGAAAATCTACAAATGTTTCTTAGGGAAAAAAAGAGAGGGAGAAATCAAGCAAAAATTCCAGTAAACCTAGCTGGCCTAACTACCTACCACAGAAGAGACACAGAATCCCCTGGGCTCAAGCATGTCAAGGTTTTCCAGTTTTCCTACCATTCTCCTTTATTTATGAAGCATGATTTCTATTAAAAAGACATAGTCATCCAATGTAATTAATGAGCACCAACAATGAATGTGGCTGTGAAGACATAAAAATGATGATACCCCTGCCTTCCACCTTCATGAAACGTGTAGTTTAGTTGGGGATATCCATTTAGAAAGAGGAGACTCTTTGTTTATAGACTGTATCCCCCACGGACTTTATCCCCCAGGCTCAGTCTAAAAGTAATAGCTGGACCTAAATCAATTTTGAATGAGAGCCAGGAGTGACCATCTAAATATGAACACGAGTAAGAGGAGCACGGTAATTCAAAGAGATCTTTTGAACACTGACCCTTTCAAGCCACTGGTTCTCATGATCATAAGAAATGTTACCATTGGTGGTCACTCAGGGAATGAGAGTGTTTCAGATTATAATATGCAAATAAGCAACCTACAAATTCAATCTAAATTTATCTTGACAAATGAATCTCTTTAAAGCTTTAACATTTTCAGAGAGGAAAATAATCACTTCTTTTGGACATTATCTCAATATCTAATTTTGTGCTGAAATAAGCACCTACTACACAAAACCAGTGGAAGCAAAGACATTTGTCTTTTACAACCTACTACTACCTCAGCTGATTCTCTTTTGTCCTAACATCAAGACACATAAACTCTCTAACAGCCACATCTGTGCAAAAGGCCAGATTAAAAATGATCCACAGACAACACAGGTTTGAACTGCATGGGTTCACCTATACAAATTCTTTTCAACCAAAAGAAGATGGAAAATGCAATCTTCATGGGATGCAAAACCTGCATATATGAAGGGCTGACTTTTCAACTTTTCCTGTTAGTGGGTTCCCAGGGCCTACTGTGGGACTTGAGTGTGAGTGGATTTGGGTATACATGGGGGATCGATCTTCCAAGTATGTGGAGGGAAAACTCTAGGTCAAAAAATAGTTTCACTCTAAGTGAAAAATAGGTAGCATTTGACCTACATGATGTTCTGTTATAACTCTTTTGTTAAAAACAATCAGTACCTAGCTACTTTAAAATGTGAGCATAGTATTGGTGGAGAATTATTTACTAGGAAACTTCATGTATCTCTCATCTCACTGTCCTCTCAGTTGGAAGACATATTGGAGCTGGAACCAATTGTACCTCATGACAAAAAAGAAGATCAGTTTGGGCCAGGCACAGTAGCTCACACCCGTAATCCCAGTAATTTGGGAAGCCAAGGTGGATGGATTACCTAAGGTCAGGAGTTCAAGACCAGCCTGGCCAACATGGCAAAATCCTGTCTCTACCAAAAATATAAAAATTAGCCAAGCGTGATGATGGGCACCTATAATCCCATCTACTTGGGAGGCGGAGCCAAGGAATCACTTAAACTCATGAGATGGAGGTTGCAGTGAGCCAAGATGGCACCACTGCATTCTAGCCTAGGCGACAGAGCAAGACTCTGTCTCTCAAAAAAAAAAGAACATCAGTCTAATAAGTTGAAACTTAGTGAGATAAGAACAATTGCAACAAAAGTCACATTGTCACCTACAGGCAGTACAGCCTAGCTCCTTGATCTTCCTAATATTAGGAAATCAGCAATAAAAAATTTTTAAAATCATTTTGCAAAAATTGGACACTGTCTGAAAGAAATTTCTTAAGGGCCCCCTTATTTTTTTGTAGCACTTCCCAATATTATTCAGTTTGAATAATTCACCCCACATTCTCAGAAAGGCAAGGTGAAAGTAAAGCAAACAGGATTGCATTTCACTGTTAGAGTACTTCATTGTCATGATTCTCCTTGCCCAATTTATTTCAACTTCAAGGCCTATTTTTAATGACTAATTGCTTCTAGCTTCCTAAAGTAGTTCAAATAGCTTCATGTGAAGACTGCTTGAAACAAGAAGTAGAAAGTGGAGTTAAACTTAGTAAAAATAAATTCGGAGTGGGGAAACGATTTCCACAGGAGAAAAAAGTTAACAGCAATGGACTGGGAAAAATAAGCAAGCTCTGAATAAAGACATGAGTAGGATAATGGGTGGAGACCGGGGTTTTTGGTTCAGGAAGTGTGTTTTAATTCGACAAATGGAGTTTTGGATAAAAGGGGAGAGCTGAGGAAATTATGACATCACAAGGAGTCAAAAAATGCAAAATGAATAAAGTGTTGTATAAAAGGAGTACAAGATTATGGAATACTTTGGGTATAACCAAGTGGTTGGAAGGTTAAATGGAACCTTAGAACTATTAGAAATTATCCAGCTTGGCTTTTTTTTTTTTAAGACAGGGTCTTGCTCTGTTGCCCAGGCTGGAGTACAGCGGCACAATCACTGCTCATTGCAGCTTTGACCTCCCGTGCTCAAATGATTCTCCCACCTCAGCCTCCTGAGTACTTGTGATTATAGGTGCACTCTATAATCATCATGCCTGGCTAATTTTTGTATTTTTTTATAGAGATGGGGTTTTACCATGTTGCCCAGGCTAGTTTCAAACTCCTGGTTTCAAGTAATCTGCCTGCCTCGGTCCCCCAGTGTACTGGGACTACAGGCTTGAGCCACCACTCATGGCCTGGCTTGACCTTTTGTTTTAAAGATGGATTTGAGATCAATGGAAGCTCAACAACTGGTACAGTTCACACTGCTCAAGTGCAGCACCCAGATGGGAAACAAGGGGTCGTATCTCCTGTTCACCCACATCACATCACCCTGCTGCTATGCTGTAGGATCTTACCTTCTTCCTGATCACCATCTTCGTTATGCTCATTTTCCACATCTTTGAAATGGAGACAACACCTTACTGCTTCTACCTAATTCACAGGAATATAAGGCCACAGGAAAGACAAAGCCAGAGATACCCTTAAACTTCTAGTTCTGTAGCACTTTCCCTGCCTTCATGCTGTGGTGTTTCTTTGCCAATGCAACATTTACCACAGCCTCTCTGGGTCAGCCTATCAAAAGCCTGCAACTGTTTTTACTAATTGGTTAAAAAGAAAACAGGCAGCATCTGCCTCTTGCAAGGATCCACCCCAGTGATTAAGTCCTTTTTTCTGTTTTAAAGTCTTAGAGTAAATATTTCTAAGACTGGTTCCACTGGGTAGTATTAAAGCTTCTGTGGAAATGGGTTGAATACTGATAACAAACCAGAAGAATCTAAAGGAAAGGAGAAAGACTGGGACATCTTGTGAAGCTGGAAGAAAGGAAGACAGCAGTGGGTATGTAATCTTGTGATGATCAAGAAACAGGGGCAGTGTGCAGAGTTAAGAACAGGCCCTCAGCTAGGTGCAGTAGATAACGTCTGTAATCCTAGCATTTTGGGAAGCCAAGGTGGGCAGATCACTTGAGGTCAGGAGTTTGAGACCAGCCTGGTCAACATGGCAAAACCCCATCTCTCCTGAAAAGACTGAAAATTAGTGGGCATGGTAGTGGTGTGTGCCGGTAGTCCCAGCTACTTGGGAGGCTGAGACAAGAGAAATGCTTAAACCTGGGAGGTGGAGGTTGCAGTGAGCCAAGATGGTGCTACTGCTCTCCAACCTGGGCAAGACTCTATCTCAAAAAAAAAATTACGGGCCTTGAGTCCTGGGCTCACAC